TAATCACTGCGTGCATCATTGTTTGGTCTCTGGGTGCATGATTGTATAGTCACTTCGTGCATCATTGTATGGTCTGTGGGTACATCATTGTATAATCACTGCGTGCATCATTGTATTATCACTGCGTGCTCATTGTATAATCACTGCGTGCATCATTGTATGGTCTCTGGGTACATCTTTGTGTAATCACTGCGTGCATCTCTGTATGGTTTTTGGGTACATCATTGAATAATCAATGTGTGCATCATTGTATGGTCCCTGGGTGCATCATTGTATAATCACTGTGTGCACCATTGTATGGTCTCTGGGTACACCATTGTATAATCTCTGCGTGCATCATTGTATGGTCTCTGGGTCCATCATTGTATAATCACAGCGTGCATCATTGTATGGTCTTTTAGTCCATCATTGTATGGTTCATGGTTATGTCAGTGTCTGGTCCATGGGCATTGTATGATTTCTGGGTAAATCAATGTACATTCCCTGATTACGTAAATGTATGAATCTGATCCCCGGACACATCATTGTACGGTCCCTGGAAACATCATTTTACGGTTCTTGTAAACATCATTGTATGATCCCAGGTACATCAATGTATGATCCCGGGGTGCAACATTGCATGGTTCATGGTTACATAATTGTATGGTCTCTGGGTGCATCATTTTACGATCCCTGGGTACGTCATTGTTTGGGTCCTAGGTACATAAATATATGATCCCTGAGTGTATCAATTTATGGTTCATGATTAAATCAATATTATGGTCCCTGGATACATTATTGTTTGGTCCCTTGGTGCATACATAAATGTATTGTCCCTGGGTGAATCAGTGTATGGTTCCTGTGAACATCATTGTACGGTCCCTAGGTATATCATCATATTGTTTACATGTATATCGTTGTATGGTTTCTGGGTGCAACATTAAGTGTACTCTGGATTCATCTTTGCGAGGTCCTTTGGTAACCTTCTGTGGTATCCTTGAGTACACCATTCCATAGACTCTGTTTACATGGTTGTTGTTCCTGTGTACTTCAATTCATGAATAATGGATTCAAGTTATGTTTCTTATCCAGTG